ATGGGAGTGGGATCTGGATATCGGATTTATACATCGGTGAAGGATAGACGTGAAGGGCTGGGGTGGGTCTGGCCTTGGGGGAGGTGTGGGGCTTTGAATAGAGTATTTCAGTTGGAAGGGACCTATAAGGACTATCTAGTCCAACTGCCTGACCAGTTCAGAGCTGACCAAAAGTTAAAGTGGCATTGTCCAAATGCCCCTTCAACGCTGCCAGGCTTGGGGCGTCTCTAGGAAGCCTGTTCCAGTATTTTACCACCCTCTTGGTAAAGAAATGCTTCCTTGTGTCCAGACTAAACCTCCCCTGGTGCAGCTTTGAACCATTCTCACACGTCCTATCACTGGGTACCAGGGAGAAGAGATGAGAGAGTTCTAGAGATCAGTTTTCTGTAGAGCTGTGGCAGAGGGAGAGATGAGGATTGCGGTGGAGCCTGGCCTAGCAGTGAAGGAGAGAAGAGGATTTTGGGCGATTGACCTACAGCTTTCCCTAGCAGGACTAGGGGAAGAATGGGGTTTCTTCTGGTTTTGGGTAAAGGTTAGGCATTGGGGAAAGATCTGCTCTAGCAGGTGAGTGTCTTGTGTTTGGGGTGAGGTGGAAGATGACTGCTGTTGTACAGGAAAAAAGGAAGAGAAAGGGTTGGAGATGTTTTTTGGGATGGAGGGAGTTCTGGTTTGGGGTAGGGAAATAGATAGTGAGTCTTGGGGATGGGATTGGGGAAGGAGAAGGGAGCAAGTCGTAGAAGGAAAGAAGGGGGACAGTGGAGGGTTCACACCTGAGGTGGGGCAGGGCACCCTGGGAGGGCAGGGGAGCAAGATTTGGGAAGTGTAGATGTGTTTGCATTTTGGGTTGGAGGTCAATATGAAAAGGAAGGCTGATGTGGTTTAACCTGGATGCTGTAGGGGCTGGTGTGGGTTAAAGGATGGGAACTGAGGCAGTCCTGTACTTATTTGGGAGAGGTTGGTGGGACTTTGGTCTTCTGTAAAGTTGCTTTGTATCTGAAAAGGACTGGGATCAAAATGTTTTTTTTCTGTAGTAGGATGGAAATATGTTGATGTGGAGAAGCCCCTCGGTCTAGAGCTGTCTTTTAGTGGGGATCTGTTGATCTTGGGAGCTGAATTTCTGTGTGTGCCGTAGTAGACAGGTACTGTGTGTCTTTGCATTCTGCACCTCTTGAAGCGTCACCCCTGAGTACTTCATGCCTTGCAGAATCACTTGAAGAATCCTAGAGTTAAGAAACCTGATGGAACTGTGTCTTAGGCCTTTAGTTAACAAAGAGGGGAGAATCACTTGATAGGCCTTATAAACATTTTTATTGTGGGGGTTGTTGGGCTCACAGGAGCATTAAACTCATTTACCAGATGGTAGCTTTGGGAATAGGGCACCAAAGATCATGACCCTGTAGAAACTTGGAGGAGAATAAAAAGTAAACAAACACCAACACATCAGAAGCGTGTGCAGAAGCGTTCTGCAGGTAATTACCAAGGGCAGGTGAGAAGAATCTGTGACTAAGTTTTGGAGGCTCCGAGGTAGACGTGTTGCGAAGGGACGGTGTTCTGCTCGTGAGCTGACAGCACCTTCTCCCAGCGTATGTAGCATCTCCTCACGCCCAGAGGAATTAGTAACACTTACATTTCATTGCATGATCTCAAAGCGCTTCACAGGAGAAGGTGAGTCACCTGCTTTTTATAGAAGCAGCCACCGAGTTACGTGTTAGCTAAAGCATGTATACAATGTTGTGGTGACGCTGCCAGAAATAAAACCTGTATCTCTTTGCTGCTCGTCCTAGTTCTTGCTCTGTGCTGCTGTGTGTAGCAGCATATGGTACTTCACTCGGTTCGGGAGGTAGATATGTCAAAAAGACAAACAGTTTGCTAAAAATTGGAGTGATTTACAGAATGTAAAATAATGCAGACATATATTTCTTTAAAAAATATGAAGGAATTGATTGTGAGATCATTCAGCTGTCTCTTCCTCCTCCACTGTGTACAGGGAAGTGGTTTAAGAACTGTAACGCTCTTGAGTTTATAAACCTATTCTTGGCTGTATTTGCAAGTAATTTAAAGCCATTTGTTTAGCTTTTTTTCTGCCAGCCTGGTCCTTTGCATGGTATTCTAAAGGACTTACATCTGTTCATTGTTGGGGTTTTTTTGTTGGTTTGTTGTATGTTTTGGGTTTGTTGTTTTGGTTTTTTTTTTCTTTTCTGGGTGGGAATACCAGAAGGGTATTTTTGATTGTAGGTGAGGCTTTTCTTGGTGTGTTTTACAAAACCGTGAATATTGCATGTCTTGTAATAGAAGGAATTTCTAGTTGTGTCTTAGGAGGAATAGAATGGTGAGTGACATAGTGCTGGACTTCGTGTGGTGGAGTCACACTGAAGTGATGGGAGGAGGAGGGGGGAGAGAGCCTGAATTCTGAGTCATAGTTCCTTATAGTAAACCAGCTGTGTAAGTGGCAGAAGGTCTTTAGCTCAGTGTTTCTGAAATGGGATTGTCAAAACTTTATGAAGCTGGGGTGGGAGGAATATTTTCATTTTGAAGGACAGAAGCTGAGCTATTTGATCTATAGCGGTGAGCTCGCTGTTTATGTCAGAGATGAAGTTTGTAAATTTAACATTGCTTTTCATTGCATCATCAGGTATGATGAGGTATCCTCCATGTAGGTGCTGCAAGCTAATAAGAGAGAAGTAGAGGCAAGGTTCTGTTTTATAAAAGGTAAAGTGCTGCTAGTAGATGAGACCAAGAAGTTTCTTTAATATTGAGAACAGAATTACAAAAGTAACAGGAGAACAGTGGTTTTTAGCTGCTCCAAAATTGTAATCACAGCTTAATGCCTGACATTACAGGAGTCCTATGCAGGACTATGCAGGAGTGTCGTAGCTGGAGTCCATACTTAATGCCTTTTTCCAGCTATCTTCAAACAGTTGTGACTGTTTCTTCTTTTTTTTTGTTTAATATTGCTAAAATTTCTCAGGTATTTTAATCCAACTCCTTGAAGTCTTGTGTTATATTGTAGTATGCTGTTGAATGTTCATGAATAGTAGCTGTGTTCTGTACCACTGATGACTGTTTTCATTGTTGAATAAAATCTATCTTGGTTATCCTTACATACATTTATATTTCTGCAAGGTTTAATTTTCTTCCCTGAGAAAGGAGAGAGAAGAAAAAAGTCATGCAGATCTGATGGTAATTAAAACGTCATTCTATTGAGGAAAAAGGTGCTGGAACAATGAATGGATTTAATTACCAAATAGGTTTTTGCTCGGAAATTCTGGCCTCGAGCACAGAAAGGAGCTGACTATCAGGCAAAGCCTTTAAGCTCTCAGGTGAGTCAAAAGTCATATGACCCAAGGCGTGTACACATATATACACACAGGTCAAGTGACTGCTTCTTTTCTTCTCCTGGACTGAGAGGACTTGTTTTACTCTGACATCCAGGGATAAATCTACATTCGGTAGTCTTTATATATTTTTTCCTTGTGGCAACGGGCATAGTAGGATTTCTGCTTTAGCTTCAGTTTTTTTTACCTGCTCTTTTGGACTTTGGGGATAAAGAAATACTCGGGGGAGAAAAATTCTGCCTGTGGATGGACAGTTCTGTAAAGGCAGCAGCCCCCAAAAGGCTGCCTGAGAGTTCCACGTCTACAGATAAAGGTAAGGAGCTTGAGATACGGTTTAGGAAGATTTTTTTTTTATGGCACCGTTGTGAGTGAGACTGCATCAAACATAAATATATTCACAACGTTAACGGTAGAGAGCAGGCTTGAGAGAAAATGCTGTCTTGATGGAGAGCTAGTGATGGTTGGAGAGAGTCTGTAGAACTGTTAGTGTGTGGCAATGGGCTCTAGGCTGAGATTTTACATAAGTTTAAGAGTCATTTGCTTGTTTACAATTTCTTCTGCCTCCCTAGTAGGGCTGTGCCTGGTTGAGGGTGGCTGTTGCTGTCTAGGAGTTGTTTTTCAGATGACATTATGTTCTGTGGTGCCTGTCCCAGCCGTGAGCATTGAGAAACCTGCATTTGGTTCCAGGTTTCCCTGGTGATCTTCTGCAAGGCATATAATCTTTCTGTGTCTTGGTTTCATCATTATTTATATATACTATTCATAAAATAACATCTCAGGGCAACAGCTTGTTGTGAGCTGTGTGCTGATACTGATGAGATTTTCAAGAACTGGTGTAAATAGTGAAGACTTGCACAGGGTGAGGGAAGGAAATGTCAGCTACTTTGTATGAGCTGAGATCTGTTGCATTCCTGAACCTGATACACTGTTTTGATAGATGGGAAGGCTGCTGATGGATATTATTATTATTATTATTACTTTTTTTCTGGATCTGATGTGAGCTCTTTCAGTATATTTCATTTGCCTTTGCAATATATTTAGGGTGTGAGGAGTTTGAGGATGTAATACAAGATACTTATTTTTGTTTATTGTCTGTTTACTGTCGTATTTGTTTCGAACCTAGACAGTTTCAAACAGTTAAACGTAATCTGGATTTGTAATTTGTAAATCCTGATTAATAAAGCTATAGTGTGATTTAGTTTCAACTGTCATTGATTTCAACACCACTGTAACCTATCCTGTTATTTAAACTGACCTAGTTGTAAGTTATGGTAGCAGAAAGTATACTGTTACCAGCACACAATTGTGTATTCGTATTAGCAACGTTTTCACTTAAAGTATCCTGTAAAAGCCTGCTCGGGAGTCCCACTGCTGGCGTTTTCTTTGCAGTCATGTTGGACTGATTGTTAAAATTATTTTTCTTCTCTGTTTCTTCGTAAAAAACTTTTTTTTTCTTCTGTATGACAGAAAGAAAATATCGTTTAAATAGCAATTAGAATCATTGGCTACTCAAAAAACCCTGTCAGTCTGTAAAAAAAAAAAAAAAAAAAAACCCCAACAAAAACAAAAACAAACAAACAAACAAAAAAACCAAAAAAAACAACTACCAAAAAACATTCTCTATCAGCTCTGTCTGATCTAACCTTGATGCATTAGAGGAATTATCATCCTGTTCTAGATGGAGGAAATGAGGCCACAGCTTTTAGCTCTTTCTCCAAATTAAGAGTTTATGTAGCAAATTGTTGATAAAGATATTAGAAAGCATATTTCCTAGAACTTGTCGTTGTTTTGTGGGCTGTAGCTGCTCACTTAAATCAGGTTTCTTTGACCTGCAGAGGTGAACTGCAGAGAGGTGACTTCTCACTGTATTGCAGTGATCTGAGAGATCACTTGCAGTGAGATCTTCTCGCCGATTGCTGATCTGCTAAACAGATTAAGAATTTTAACTTTAAACTCTAGCTGCTTTGTAAACTTGTGGTTTACTTTTTTCCCTATTTGCATCACTAAAACTCATAATGCCATGGAAATAAGGTATGAAAACCAAAGTAAAGATTTTTGTGGAATATGAGGTACCATGAGTAGTCCTTATCTCAGTAGTACTGAAGTTTTGAATATATTTAACAAAAGAAGTCATTGGAGCTGGATGCAGAGTTAGAGAGCACTATTTAAGGGATATTAACGATGCAGCAGTCTGAAGGCACTGGGAGATTTTCAGTGTGTGCTATAGGAATTCACGCCAGTGCTACCTGAAAAAGGACTGTTAGCTTTTTTATTTGCGTTAGAATTCCTAGACATTTCCTTAACGGGAACAGATCCAACTGAAGTAAAAAGGTGTAATTAGTGTCAGTGTCAACCTAACAGGGGATTTTGTGGTGGAGCTCTTTTCATTTATTGCACTGTACAAGTAGCAGAACACCTGGAGATAACGTTATGGTACTAATCTGTAAATTGTGCTGTGATACATCAGAGGCTTTGAGAAGTTAATGAAAATGTGAGTAATTAAATCTCCACTACATAATGGGTGTTCACAAAGAAGTTAGTTGTGGAACGTAATTGGTCTTCAGTGTTCATGCTGACAACTGTAGCGTTATGAAGGAGATGTCACTGGAAGCAATCTGACCCTTGGGTGCAAGAAGCCTCTTTGGCAGTGTGGAGAGGTGCTGCTCCAGAAATATTTAATTTACTGTTCCAAATTTGAGATTGTTTTGATGTAAATAAGCCTGGCCTGAGGCATATGACAGCTCCTTTTTTTCTTGCTGGGATTCCAGATACCAGTGAGCAAGTCTTCTAGGATTAATATTATGTCATCAAATAGCATCACGGGCTCCCAGCAAAACATAGCCTGTCACAGAGGTGCAATGAAATCACTGTTGGCCTGGACGTTGTGGCCCATCATGCTGAGAGAACAGAGTCAGTTCTGCTGTCTCTCTCAAGCCTCTGCCGGTTCTGCCACTGCTCTGCTGTTGTGTGTGCGGGGCTGCTCTGCATGCCAGGCCAGCAGCACCTCTTCCAATCCCGCTATGGCATCTTTTTCATCTTAACTTCCCCTTGGGTCAGTCAGTGTTTTCCCAGCAGCACTTCTAACTGGTTTTGGTTCTTCCCAAACTCCTATTTCTAAGTATCTTTGACGGTAGCTGAGCAATTTTACAGAAGAAATACTACAGATTTGGGGAGGGTTTTTTTGGCTGCGTTGTTGTATCAGAAGTTCTGATATCCACTGGAGTTTTGTAAGGTAGGTATTTTTGCAAGTCTCCTGAGACCAAGAGTGATGGTCTGAGATAGTGGCAATTTCTGAAGTAGGTTTATCCATTTGTGGCTGGGTGTTTCTGCTCTTTAATGATTGTGAGGTCTGGTCAGTGGTGGATTTGGTTTCACCTGCGATGTCGAATATGTTGGATGGACATTCTGGGTATAACATACCTGGGTGTTGAGATATCAGAGTGGAAGGAGAAGGACCAGTTGTTTATTGTGATAGTTGTAGATATATATTGATGAGCTTGCGTTTTGGTAAGTTCTGGATTTTCTTCAGTATCTGTTGGTCTGTGGGAAGCTGCTACTGATGACGAGGTGAGGAATGGAAAACTATTTACATGATCACTTTCCAGTAAAAAGGGGTATGTGAGAGACTCAGATTAGTTAGTAAAGGTTTTTCTTGATTCTGTTTTTGGTAGATTCCCCTTCACCCAAAAATATGAATATAAGCATGTGAACATATAGACTAATCTAATGATAAAGCACCTCCCCTGCCCAAAACACTTAGAGCACAGCAGTTATTCTATATCCAGGGCATTAATGCCATACTCATTTGAAGTTTGTGCTGTTGTAAATCACATGCTGGAATGTGATGAGAACATTATAAAAAGGGGAGGCAGTGCTGTTATGGAGTGGGCAATAATATTGATTGTCCTACTTAGAAAATATGAGCCTTTCTGAAGGAAATCTGTGGATGGTTAGGAATGGTTACCAAATTCTGTAACCCATCTTGTACCTATTTCCAAATCTGTCTTGGGTTTTTGCCTGAAAGGTTACAGTGAGAGTGCTGGAAACCAGCTGTGGATGGGATTAATTACTTATGAGGGTTTGTAACATCAGCTTTTGTATGTTGCTAAAGATTCTTGCATTTTATTCTAGTTTCTCCTTCTGGCTTTGAGAGCGTTGCTCTTGCAGAAGAGGATCTGAACGTCGAGCTGATGAGCGAAGACATACGCATCCATAGCTGGCCTTGTTCTTACTACTTGGACACCAGTAAGCAATGGGTCTCTGGCAGACTCTTACTGACTCCTGTTGCGATCAAATTTACGGCTGACAAGACTGGGGAGCTTTTGGTCAACTTCCATCTTTCTAGTATCAGTGAGATCAAGAAGGAGTCTTCAAATTTAATCTTCAGCTCCCTTACTATCTTAGAGAAGAACACCAAGCACTGGTTCAGTTCTCTGCAACCCAGCAGAAATGTGGTGTTCAACATCCTTGAGCACTTCTGGAGGGAGCAGTTGCTGTCAAGCCAAGGTGCGGGAGCAGAAGCAGCAGCTTTGCAGTCAACAAAGGGAAAAGAACTGACTGGGTTATTGACTGGATCTCAGAAACGACTGGAGGACACAGCAAAAGTCCTGCATTACCAGGGCGAGCAGTTTGATAACATCATGAGAGGACTCAACAAGATTGAAGGGGATATGGATGTAGCAGACAGGTACGGCACTGTAGCGTCCTCTGAGCTGAGAGGCTGTTGTGGGATTGGGTTGCTTATGCCTGAAATTTATGGGGCAGATCCACAGAGCTCTTCAGGAAACTAAACCGTTGACTTTCAGTGAAAGTTAGAGCCCATGATGGTCCTATGTGGATCTAGTTCTTGTTATAAAATGTTTCTGTATTTCTGTCCTCCCTTCTGTGCAACGTTTTTTCACCCTGGTGAAGTTGTTTGTATATATATACCTGTCCTCTTTCATTCAAGTAAATTTTCAAGCCCTCATGAGTTTTACCCACAACAGGTGGAGATGATCGAGATCTCCAAAATACTAACAACCTGTAAGTTTTGAGAGAATAGGCAACCAAGTAGGGGAAAGGGATGCAATTTTATGTCCCCACTGCAGGACAAAGTATGGCATTCTCATTTTTATTAGATGCCCTAGAATATGCATAAATGAAAAATACTGGAAGTTGGCTTTGGTTGGTTTTGCTAGTCCTGGATCAGCCTGTTTAGCTGTTCCACAGCAAACACAACCACAATTCTGTTTTTCTGGTTCTTTTCAAAGGAAATGTTGAATATGGCTGGTGGGCTGAAGACTTGGGAGACAGTTTCCTAGAGTTACCAGGAGACAGCTGCCAATTAGTCTTTAGTTCAAGTAGACTGTACGAAGTATGTGTAGTTGAGGGCTTTATATTTGCCCTTTCCTTCACAAGAACTTAGTTCCCAGCTATACACAGCAGTGAAGATTGGGTCTGTGGCACAGATGTGGTCAGGGAAATGGCTGTAGAAACTGCTCCCTTTTTTTGTGGTATAAAACTGCTCTGCTTTTAACCTTACATGGAATACTCCCTGCCTTTAGGTCTAGGTGGAAGAAATATGTTTTAAGGAATAAATGAGCAGTGTTGAGCAATGCTAAACTGCGAAGCTTTGTTTGAGGAGTGTAGTGGTGCAAGAACTGGAGAGACAGTACTAGACTATTTGTGATAATCTCAATCTGGCACTTAAGCCAGTGTGTTAAATAAAATTAGCCACCAAGTGCTGCCATTAGACAACTGAAATAAGATGGAGCACATTTGAGATGTTGCTTAACTTCAGCTGTTGCAGAACTCAGTGAGAATAGTAAATGGTTGGTGTCTTAATCAGAATGTTATGACTTTACTATTTAAAGATGAACATTCAAAGTGAATTATTCTATGCTATTTTGTATGCTGCAAGTTGGATTCAATAGCAGTCCAAAATAGACAGCAAGGTTGAGAGTAGTATTGTAATGTTTGAAGATACATAGCTATGGGTGTCCTTCTGGAAGCTCTGACACCTGCGTGGAGAAACAAACACAAGAAAGTTCAAACTAGTTGTTTTTGGAAAGAGCATCTGTTTTTAGACGGATATCAAGTCTAAAAGAAAGTGTTGATTTCACAATGATTCTGGTGATATTCTCCATACCCTTTAATGAAAAGCCAAGATAACTGAAAGCTTCAGCAATAGCTTTTAAAGGTCTGTACCAATAAACAATGAGTAGGAAAATAAATACCTGCTCATTGTTTTTGGAAGAGAGTTTTCTTTTGGGTTAAGATGCACCGGGAGGTATTGTTTGTCCTCGTGAATCTGAAAAGCTAGATGCTTTGATTTAAAAATTGAAAAAATAAAGGAAAGCATTGACCACGGCTGAGATTCTGTTTTATCTGCAGTTTGAAGAGTCTGGCCAGCTGGTTTGCAAGCTAAAGTGCAGCCCAGAAGCCATTAGCAAAACTGTGTTTTAATTGCACTGTGTTTTTTGAGGAGTTCTAACAGTTTTCTAGCACAGTTTGTGTGTGTAGGTTTTCTCATAAAGCTGTTCCCCCCACCCAAAGTCTTCTCTTAAACTGGTGATATGTTTCGTCATCTCTCCTACGAGGAAAGGCTGAGGGAGCTGGGCTTGTTTAGCCTGGAGAAGAGAAGGCTGAGAGGGGACCTTAGAAATGCCTCTAAATATCTGCAGGGTGGGGGTCAGGAGGATGGGGACAGACTCTTTGCAGTGGTGCCCAGCGACAGGACAAGGGGCAATGGGCACAAACTGAAGCAGAGGAAGCTCCAGCTGAACCCGAGGAAGAACTTCTTCCCTCTGAGGGTGACGGAGCCCTGGCCCAGGCTGCCCAGAGGGGCTGTGGAGTCTCCTTCTCTGGAGAGATTCAGGACCCGCCTGGACAAAGTCCTGTGCAGCCTGCTCTGGGTGACCCTGCTTTGGGGGGATGACCCACAGAGGTCCCTTCCAACCCCTAACATTCTGTGATTCTGTGACATCTTTCTCCCTGTCCCTAACTCATGCAGAAAATGGGGAAGACCGTGATTTAAGCTCATTTGATTGTTGTGTGTTAGGTAATTTGGACTTTTAACATAGATAAATATGCTAATGTCCATTAAGACTCTTTGACTCTCACTTTCTTTAGAAACTTGATGAGTAGTAACCAAATGGATAATACCACGCAGGACCATTTTCTATGTGGAGCGGATTTTGTGCAGAAGGAAACAAACTTTTGTGTCCATGAGTTCAAGGTTGTATAGGCAACACCAGTTTGATGGTGGTGTCGTTTCTAAAAAGAAATGGGCATCTTTATCTACTTTCATATGTTTAAAATGCTGATTGCCTGTATGTGTGGGCTTTTTTGGATTATTAATTCTGTTCTTGTGTGTGCCTGGGTATATACAGCTGCTTTCAGTGGACCTGTGTGCAGATAAGCAGAGCAGAGTCTGACGTGCTAGCAGATGTTCAAAGACCAAAAATAAACAGAAAGCCAGATTCACTGATTCCTTTTAAATATATTACTATTAGGGGACAAGGTAGTCTGGTTGCAAATTTTCATTTGTATATAAGGACCGGTCAAATAGTTTGTTGAAACAGGAGGTGACTCCTCCGTGGAAGGCCAGAGAAGTTGGCTGGGGCCTTTGTTAGTGCTGTGCAGCAGAAAAATCTTGACTGTAAATCAGACATCGCACAGCCAGGATGTCAGTCCCTCGGGAACGAAGGGAGGAGACGAGTGAAGGGATAAAGTGATCAAAATTAAGACTCAAAGCTATCCAGGATAAGTTACCACAATGTAAACGGAGGTTTAGACTTGTCACACTGCAGCTGCTTTTCAGTGAACACGCATGCTTTTCTCACGGTGTATGTGATGAAGTAAACCCATATTGCGGTAGGAATTTAATGACTTTTCATAGGTTAAGACATAGGCATAAGCTGTCGTTGCCCTGAAGTACCTTGTTGTAACTCTTTCCTACACAAAGAAGACAGAAAATGTGCTTTGCATTCTGTAGACATGAGATCATGTCATTTATTTCTGTTAAGTTACAGCAGGTAGGTTAGAGCATGGCTTTTAATTTGGAAGATGGTTTGTGCTAGCAGAGCCTAGGGTTTTTTCAGTCATTCTCTGTGTTGAACTTAAGCTGAACCTCATAGTTTCAGAATTTAGCCCTAAATCTACGTTACTGTGCCATTTCAAATTCTGTTATTGTAGATATTCCTGTTACATCTCCTCTGGTCTATCTTCCCTTCCCTTCCCACCCCGCCCCCCC